AGCGGTCACTCCGGGCTGCAGCCCTTGCCTAGCGGGAGGAGCGCAGTCCGGATAGTGGGGCTGGGGCGCCACCTGGCGGTCTGGCGAGGGCTCTTACCGTCGTAGTCCGGGAAGCAGATGCTAAGATGTGCCTTTTTTATCTTCTCGGAGAAAACGTCCTTCTTGTTGAGGAAGAGCACGATGGACGTGGTGGCGAAGTAGCGGTGGTTGCAGATGCTGTTGAATAGGTGCAGGCTCTCGTGCATGCGGTTCTGGGGAAGGCAGTGGCTGTCGGGCACCGGGGGACACGGATAGCCACCCCCAACACCGGCCGTGCCCAATAGATTTGCCCCAGAGCTTCCCCGCTCCCAGAGAACCTCCACCTCTTCCTCTCCCGTAGAGCTGAGAGCTACCTGGAGCAACTCTCTAGTCTCAGGGGCTCCCTCAGCTCCACCTCCGCCCTCAAATCCTCAGGCCTAGTTTGGTACTCACCACTTCATCATCCTCCACCAGCACCATGTCGTAGGCGCTGAGCGCCGCAATGAAAATGATGCAGGTCACCCCTTCGAAACAGTGGATCCACTTCTTGCGTTCCGAGCGCTGCCCTCCCACATCGAACATTCTGTGGGACAAGGGTACCTGAACCCGCGCAGCGGAAACCCTGGACACACTCACTGGTATCCCCTCGGCATTCTGTGATGGTTGGGGAGCTATCGGATGGGCCCAGGCCTTTCTGCTGTCAGGTGCAGGGCAGGCCCCTGAGCAAGGGTGTGTGTGTGTGTGTGTGTGTGTGTGTGTGTGTGTGTGTGTGTGTGGTGGTGGTGGGGGGGGTCTTACCTGAAATTGAGATCCTTGAAGGAGAACTGTGTCTCAATGATGCCGGTGGTCTTGACACGCGAGCGCAGCACATCCTGCTCAGTGGGAACATAGCCCGGGGTCACTAGGCGCTCAAGGTCTGAGAGGTAGCTGAGGAAGACCCCAGGGTGTGAGTGGATAGGTAGCTGGAAGGGCAAAACGGGGTCCCAACCGCGTCCCCGCACCCTGCCTGCGCGCTCACTAGCCAGCAGAATCATTGAGCTGGTACTCCGAGGCGCGGTCAAAACAGGCCTGGATACCAGAGTCCTTCCACAGACGCTGGATGATGTCCGACATCTCCTTGGGCATCGTGCCCTCCTCGATGGTGTCTGCCATGTGCATCAGCTTGCGAGCATCGTCCTGGGGACAGGGTGGGAATGGTAGCTGGTGACCGTGAACCTAAGCCCAGGCAGGTGCCTTGAGTCCCCACAGTCCCCATCAGCTCGCCTCCTGGCGCACCTGGCGGGCTGAGTCTCCATACTGGATATTGAGTGTTGTCATTGCCCTCACGATGGCCAGGATGGATTGTAGGGTGTTGCCATAGATGATGGCAATGAACTCGAGGCACTCTTCCAGTGAGTACCCGTCCTGGTGGATAATCCTGCGGCCAGGGTAAGCACAGTCAGAGCCTCATGGGTCAATGGTAAAACACAGGCCCCATGTGCGTGCACCCTCCCCCAGGGGGCCTCCGAATGGGCAGGGGCACTCACTTCATCTGCTTGACAATGGTGCTCTTCCCAGACTCACCAGCACCTGAAAGGGCAGTGTGCCTCAGATCAGTACTGACCTAACAGTCTGCCTCGCCTCTATCACAAGGAGGCAGGGAAGATGAATGGGCTAGGTGGACCTGCAGCCAAGAGGCCTGGGGTGTCAACTAGACCCCTAATTATACCTGTCCTTACCCCATCCAAAGTAAGGTCCTGATGCCTACCTGCAAAACATTTGTAAATGTCAGGAAAATGACTTAAAGGGAGCAGACCAGCAGAATCAGTGACTTCTGCTGTTCAGGGAAATCCCCAAGACCCTGCTGCTTTTATTATGCTAAGACCAAAATAAAGAAATCTTGGAGCACCACCTCGTGGGGATATATGGTACTATGTACACAGAATTGAGCAGGGTCAACCCCTGCTTTTCACCTAAAAGCTGAAGTTCTCCCAGAGGCTCAGGGAATAAGCACTTCTGGCTGAGAGAGGACAGAGCCTGACATCCCTTTTGAGCCTGCTCCCATGAGGGCATTGGGCACAGTTAATGGGATTTCCGGCTTAGCCTCTCTGCATTCCCTCTGGGGGCCCTGGGTTAGTCCCTCTATCCATCACCATTTGGTCAGCTAGGACCTTCCCCACTCTCTTAAAGCAGCTCTTTCCCCTTGGGAGTTGGGCAGTGGCCCTGAGGCAGGCTTAGCTCAGTTCCACTTCCCCTTACTATCTATAGGACCATAGGCTCAGCTTTGTTCTCCACAGATGCACATTTTCACCCCTTTTTGTTGCTTCATAGTTCTGCCAACAATAAAGTTCTGGGACTTGAGGATCATAGTCTGTGGACCTGGGTTGTCCCAGAGGCTTCCTGCTCCCAGGAGGACAATGACCTTATTCCTAATTCTAAGCCCTCTGTAGAGCTCCTAAGGAAGCCTCTGGTTTTTGAGCCTTGCCCAGCAGGCCTGTCAAACTAAACACTGGAGCTCTAAGGGGTCTATCCAGGGTGAAAGTGTGCCTGAACACACACTTGTACAAAAGTGTGTTTGACACACACTTCTGTGGAAGTCCCCTGGAACTTGCCTTGGGGACTGGGATATCACCACCTGTCAGCCATGTCCTTACTACGCCAGGATTCTCACTTTGCCTTATCCTGTCACAGTCTGTCTTTTTCCCAGAGAACCCATTTCACAGAAAGTCTGCCTTCCTGGCTTCAGGCAGCAGTCACCCCCCCACTGGGCCCATGCCCATACCCAGAAGTAGCAGTTTCACTGTTCGAGCATCCTTTTCAGCATCCTCTTTCAGCTTCTTTTCCAACTCCCTGGAGTGCTTCTCCTCAGCGCTGGCCCCAGCCCCCATGGTCCCAGCAGCAGGCAAAGGAACAGGATGAGCAGATGACTCTTCTGGATGGAGGGGCTCCCAAGAGCCTGGCTCAGGCCAGGCTCTGGTCTCTTGATATCCTTCTGGTCCCAAGACTGGCAACCAAATGCTTTCCACAGATCTTTGCAGGTCCTGGTGGAGCTGCTTAGTGGGATTTGGGAGCTAGGGGTGCCCAAAGGCCAATCAGAGACAAGGACAGGTGAAGCCTGCTCAGTCCCCCAACCTTCTAATCAGTCTGGCATGGCCCCAATCCCTCAACTGCTGACTCTGCACCCCTTTTGTTCTCCCCCCAACCTTCCAGGAGAGGCCATGGACAGTCCTTCCCATGCCCTATGGAAGGAGACATATTCAGTAGGGTTGGACCGGGGTGGTGGGGGGGACAGGCCCTTGAGCCTTAAGGATGGAGGCAGTGGAGGCACAGCTGGCAGCAGGAGTGCACAAAGGGAAAAGCAGGCAGAGCACCCACCACTGCCAAGCACTGGGCTCGGAACTGTTCCTTATCTTTTAAGCTCACACTGGCCCTAGGGGATGGATGCCCATACTATCAGCCCAGTTTCACCGATGAGGAAGTGGAGGCTCACAGGGTCACACAGCAGGCAGTGCTTGAGAAGACTAAGTGGCTCTAGACCAGGGTTTTATGCCTGCTGAGAAGTAACAATGGAAAGATGGGCTTTGTGTTTGCCCTATATTCAGGGCTAAATCTGAGCCTGAGCAGGGGCTCTACATGCTTCCACACTTCAGATGGATTCATGGATATACATGTCTGCTATAGGTGCCTGAGTGTGTTTCTGTCCCTTACTGGCACCAAGCAAGGTGCCACTAAGGACTAGACACATTTGTGCCTATACACTTGCATGAACATGTGAGCCTCTGTACGTGTAGCTTTTCAAATGCATGTGCTCTTATATGTGTGTTCATGTGGGCTTGTAAGCATATTTGTGTGTACACATATATGCATGTGTGGGGTTTCCTTTTGTCCCTCTTGGTGCTGGAGATCAAACCTAGAGACTTGTGCATGCTAAGCATATGTTCTACTGAGCTACATCTTCAGCCCACCAAAAACTCTTGTGCTTGTGTGTATATTTTGCAGTGGTTGCTTGGGTTCACGTGTACCTCAGTATGTATGTGTGAGTACACCTGTGTACATGAGCACAATAGCATGTGCTTTCATGTGTACATATATACTACTCTATGCCTGTGCATATGCATACATGTGTATTTGAGTGCAACAAAGTCTGTGATCTGCAGAGATGGTTGAACTCTTCCAGTGAATATTTTGTAGGCCTCTTGTTAGATGGGGAAATAGTTCTAGAGCAGGTCTGGTGCTCCCCAGAGCATGGAAAAGTGGGACTCACCTGGCCTGCTTCTCTTCTGTCCACTGATGGTGCTCTGGGATCTGACTATGAATACCTTTAAAGCCTGCCTGCCTCTGCTTAGGGGACTGGAGCACTGCTTAGGTGCAACATACTGTTGGTGAAGTGCTTCAGCTTGAGCCTGTAGGATTGAGCTCCCTGGTTCTAGAGGTCCCCCCACCCACACACTGCATCAGAAACCCAACATCCAGGCTCTCAAAGCTCTCTCCAAGAGAGAGTTGGACTCCTAGTTGGACTTCTTGCCTGAAATCTGATGACCACTTAGTCCCCAATTCTGCTGCAGACTCAAGAGACCACAAGGGGGTGCCAGTGCCCTAGGCACTGACCATGGAGACTGTTTCTGTGCCACTTTCAGCTTTTGGACTTCACCCCCACCCTCACACTGTCAGTAGGTCCCAGAGTCTCTGCAGCCCTTTACACTGTCCAGGGGCTAGGGTAGTGCAGGAACCAGGCTTGTTAAGTCAAACCTGATTTCTGTGTTGTTTGTTTTTTGAGAAAGGATCTTGACATACAGCCCAAGCTGGTCTTAAACTTAATATCCTCCTACCTCAGACTCCTAAGTGTTAGGGTTACAGGCTTGTGCCACCACACCTGGCTGTACTTTTTTTTTTTTTAAAGTGGGACCAATCCACTGCTTCCCAGTTCCCCACCCGGCTTCCCTTGTTTACCAGGTATGAGCCTAATCCCCCTCCCCCAAAATCACCAAGGAGCGAAGCCAAAGTCTAGTCCCAGAGCCAGTGTTTATTAGCAAGATGGAACCCAAGGGAAGCTGTGGCCCGGGCAGCAGAGGGCCATCAGGAGCCTCCCAACCATCTAACTGCTCTCAGAGCTATGTACACCCATCACTTGAAGTGGTGGGCAGAAGGAAGCCCTGGAGAACCCCTGCAGGCCCTAGGCCTCCACCATGGCCCATCTCCCCTCTGAGCTGAGGGCTGCCTTCAGCCCTACCTGCACCTGGCCCCACTGTTCTCCCAGTCTCCAAGTCAAGGTGGCACAGGAAGGGCTAAGGAGGTAGAGTGGAATAGCCCTGTTCTGGCCAAGCAGGGAAGAGAGAAGGGCCTGAAGTGTCTGCCTCATCTGGGCAGGACTCCTCTTCTCCTGTCCCCAATAAATAGAGAATAAATACCTGGCCTTGACTGACTATCCCTGACCCAGGCAGGGATCGGCATCTTGTGATGACTTCTTCCCTTCTTCCCTTCTCAGGGCATCCTGAGGTCCCACCCCCAGACTCCAAAGCAGTCCTAGTATCCATCACTATGCCATAGTATGGCTGACAACACACATCAGCATAGGGGCTGGTCCATGCCCTGGCAAGTAGGGCTTGCTCCCTCCCTGTGTTCTGTAGATCTTGGTGGTGGCTGTTGATCAAGCAGACTTCCAGCAGAGTCTGGGGACTGTGTGATCCATGCCTAGCCCTGGCAACTTGCTGGGCTTGGTTGGGCAGGCTCAGTTTTGTTGTCTCTGACCAGCATGGGTCTAAGTTCTGGTTGATGCTGCCACTGAGGCAGGCTATATACAACCCACCAATAAATACTGTCTTTGCAGGGGCAGGGTGTGTATAGAATATAGATATTTTTTATATATATATATTTATATATATATATATCTTTTATATTAAAAGGGATGAGGGCTAGGCTGGCCCTACACAGGGCTCAGACAGCTGGCCTCATGTGTCCGGAGGGTGGTGCCGACGGTTCCGGGGCTTTTTCTGGTCCTGGGGCTCAGGAGGCCTGGGTGCCCCTGGGGCCTCCCTGGGGCTGGGGGGCACATGACGCCAGTAACCCTGGCAGTACTGGTGGATGAGGCCCACTTCTGGCTGGGCTAGCAGTTGGGCTAGCTCTTGGTAAGGAGGCGTGGGGAGCCCTGTGCCAGGGGATGGTGGGGCGCTCACAGCCAGCGGGGGGAAGAGGGCAGCATGGACAGCATCCCGGCCCAGTACATGTAGCTGCACCCGTGTGACAACGTGCTTGAAGTTGTTCTCAGTAGCCGTGCAGGAGTAGAGGCCACGATCACCGAGCTGCAGGGCACGAAGCAATAAGCCCTGCTCTGTGCGCAGGAAACGGTCCTCTGCACGAATCTGCAGGGGTAGGGGTGGGGGCTCAGAGGCTGTGTCAGCACTCCAATGCCCTAGCCAGCTTGCAGAGGAGCCCATTCCAGGCAGGGGCACCTACGTGGAATTTCTTTATACCAAGAAAAACCCATATGATGTTTCCACATAATGAGAGGTATCTGAATAAGGTATCCGCACATGTTTCCATGTCAGGAGGGATGACCCCTAGGAGGGTTCTGTACAATGAATGAGAGAATTTTGGAGCACACACAGAGAACTGTCATTTAATGAGAATCCCCAACTGCGGCACCCACAAAGAATTTCCACGTAAAGAGGGACACCTGTAAGGCTTTTCCACAGAATGAAGGCTACCCACATAATTTCTATATAGCAGAGTCACCCACACGTCATTCCAATACAAGGAGGTATACCCCAGTGGCAGTGATACCTCATCCACAACTCCATCCCAACCCAGGAAATATGACATTCACCTCCAAACTCTCAGGGCACAGGCTGAATATGAATATAGCGTACCTATAAACGCTTTCCATATAATGAAGCCTATCCTAGTTAAATGATTTCTCTGTAGGAAAGGGAGCTTGGAAGGGATTTCAGAGACTGAGGGCTGCCCTAAATTGGCTTCTACACTATATTTCACCCACATGGAATTTCCACTGTCATCCATGGTGTAGGATGGGCACAGGAACTTACCTCTCGGCGCCGGTCATTGGGATCTCGTTGGAACAGCCATTTAACAGTGGCTTGGGGTGAGCGGGGCTGGCATTCAAGGAAGGCAGCACTGCCGGCCACACCATACTGCACAGACTCCACAGCATTCTTGTTGGCTGTGGATCAAGAGTGCCCTGAGTGGAAGCAGCATAGCTCCTGGGTAGTTAGTCTGCTGGCTGGTGAGGGGCAGGCATTGAGGGACACCCACCTGCAAAAGCAGGGTGGCACCACAGGCATCTACTCCCCTGAGGAGGTGACCAGGGACATCCCAATCCCAAAACTCCAGGTACCCTTTCACTCCCTAGGAACCATCTGCAAGTCCCTACAGTGTGGGACCTATGAACAGCTTCATGAGTTGCACAGGGTTCTGCAGTGTGAGGAGCACCCAGTGGGAGGCATAGTACATTTACTCACCATTGGAGTTGAATCCACGGCACTGCCTGATGGGGTTCCCATGCCGGACATCCTGACGGCGACTCCGCCTGGGTGAGGAGAGCTCCTAAAGGAGTGCTCCCAGGGAACTTGCCCCCCATCCCAGGTCTCTTCACACCCAAGACTCCAAGGCTCTGTATCCCCAGGGCAGTGATTCCTCACCCACAACTCCATCCCAACCCAGGAAATATGACATCCACCTCCAAACTCTCAAGGCATGGGCTGAAATCCCAAGGATCTGGGGGTCCACACCTCTTGGAGGATGCTGTGTAGCGAGAACAGGCCTGGCCATCCCAGGCACAGTAGGGGTCTCGGGCGAGGCAGCAGTCAGCACAGGCAGCCCCGTATGCCTGGCAGCGGTGCAGACTCAGGTGTGTGACACCCACGGCTGAAGCTACATACAGTTGTTGCTGGGGGCAGGTTAAGGGGCTTGTCAGTTTCCTCCCCACAGACAGTCCCCATCAGCTGGGTTCCTTCTCTTCCTTGTTCCATTTCTCAGTTTTCCCATTCCTGTTCTAAGAGCATGACCCCAAGGAGACACAGGCTTCATCCTCATCCCCAGCTCACACTGCCAAAGACTCACCCTTTTGGAAGAGATGGTCATGGTCTTAACTGGTGCTGGGTCCTAGAAGAAGATAGGGGATCAGCATGGGACCCTGGGGATCCCCTCCCCGCCACTGATCTTAGAACAGATCTAAGGTCAGGACTGGGACTGAGGAGGATCAAGGTGGGGAGGACAGGATCAGGTGGGACCTACCTTGAAGACCTCCACCTCCTCCAGCATGAGCTCCTCCACTTCCTGGTCATCCTTGGGCAGCACGATGACCTTCTGTACTGTCCCGCGGTCTGGAACGGGCCGGGCAGGACCTCAGTGGGGCTGGGGACGCTGGGGAAGGGGCAAAGCCTCAGCCCCTTCCCCCACCAGGGCCCCAACTCCCTTAGGACAGTGGAGCAGGAGTTCCATGATGAAGTTGAAGGGTTTCCATCAGGTGAAGGAAAGAGACCAAGGGGACCGGCACAGGACAAAGGCCAAGGTCTGCCCCCAAACCCTCATTTTGGGCCCTGCTGAAAACAAAACACTGGCATGTTCCTATGCTGGGAGCTGTTGGAGCTGTGATATGTGCACTTAAGTGAAAGTGTGCACATGCCAGCGTGTACCAGTATTTGGACCTATGTATCCCAGGAACCTACCATCTGTTTCTAACTGGCCCCATATAAGGACCCCCAGGTACCTTATACCCTGGGGATGAGAATGGAAATGCAGTTTTCTCCTCTTTAGCCTTAGCTATCCCACCAAGGAGGAGAAAGCTCCCAAAGATAAAGGTGACAGAGCTGACCTTGATGAGCCTATAGAAACCCCTAGCAGGACAGGTTCCAGTCCCCAAATCAGCACCCCCCCCCACCAAGTGGGCCCAGCATGGGAGGGTCTGGGAGCAGCAGCGGGTACCTGTGCCCAGGAAAAGCACCTCATAGCGCCCGTCTGCTGCATCCACCTGGTCCACAGCAACAGTGGTGAGACGGTAGGGAGCACCTGTGCGGACCACCAGGGGCCGCCGCTGCAGTGGGTACACGGCCTGGTACATGAGTGGGTGGCTGCGCATGAAGTTGATCACTTCATCAGGATAGTCCTTGGTGGACTTCATAGATGGTGTGAAAGTTCCTCCAGGGCACTGCAAGCAGGTGGTGAGCGTCAGTCCCAGGCTGCCCAGACGAGGCAGATGGACCCATTAGCTCAGGATAGGCTTCCACATTATCTGTCTCCCACCATCTCAACCTGCTTTTCCCTCCAAACCCCTCTCCTGCCTTCCACCCTACACCCAACCTCTCTGTAGTTCCTGCTGTATCCAAGGTCCCCAAACCCCAATAGCCAAATCCCATGGCCACCTCCCAGGCTTCATGCACCATGACCTTGTGGCAACATTTGGCTGAGTTGACCATTCCCTTCCCATGTCCTCACCCCCACCCAGCTACCTCCTTCCTTTCTGGCTATCCATCTGGTCTCACCACTTCTCCCTTCTCCTAGGCTGCAGGCCCTGAAGTCTGCCTAACACACCAGTCATGCTCTCCCCTTCCCTGAGGTTGTTCCTTCTGCCTGGGACTCAGCCTGTCCCCAACCCCTGCCATCCTTCCAATTCTATCCTTCCAATTCCAACTTCACTTCTGAGGGGAAGCCTTCCCAGTACTCTAAAGAGATCATAGGATCAGTCCTGACCCTATGGAGTCATACCTGCCACTGTATTAGATCAGATCATGTCTAAGCTCTCCTGCTTTGTCATTTGCAATGGCCCAGGTCACACCAAGATAGTTAAATACCTCCCCTCACTGCAGAGACCCTGAATGCTTGGCCTGGTCCTGCCCACTCCCCACTTCCTTGCTCACTATTAGCCAGCCAAACTGATTTCCAGCCTGCCTCCAGCTTTTACCTTGAAGACTCTTCCCTCTAATTTTTAGCTCCCAAACAACTCCCCAGAGACTCCTCCATGGGGCAGCCCACCACATCCAGTCCCCCATCTGTGTCTCAGGCTGCTGGCTAGCTGGGTTGCTTTATGCCCTGACCTATGTGAACAGTGTTTTATTTTTGTTTGTGTTTTTTGGTGGTTCTGGGGTTTGAACTCAGGGCCTCCACTTAAGCATAGTATGGTACACCTCCCCTGCTGGCTATGGGCTCCATGATCATGGGCCTATGTCTGTAGAAGGTCTAATCCAGAGTACGTTTTTTAGAAGCAGAGAAGAGGGAGAGGCAAGGTGAGTATTTACCGTGCCAGGCCGAGGGTAAGGCATCTTCCCTGAGAAGGGCATCCACTGGTAGTTGGGGCCCTCCTTGTGGGCAAAGGGTCCATTGAAGACCATGCGAATGTCAGCCATGGAGTAGACACACACAGCAGAGCCTCGGAACACAGAGCTGCATGCAAGGCAGGCTGCTGAGGGCAAGGCAGACCCTGGGCCCAGAGCCCCTCCCCAGTCTACCCTCACTTCATAGCTCACCACCAGGTTGGTGTCCTCCATAAGTCATAACACCCCTCCCAAATCCAGCCACACCCCGCCACTGCTGGCCCCTACCCCAGCCTCACCCCGAGGATGTAAAGACAGCATAAATGACAGGGTTCCTCACATCCTGGGTCTGCTGGACAAACACATCCTCTGGAGACAGAGGGAGAAGGTACTGAGAGGGTGCTATAGGCAGGAGCCTCAGAGCCCTGTCCACTCCTGCCTAAGGGAGGGAGGCCACTAGAGGCACCCTGACCACCCATCCAGCCTCCCATTCTTCCTGCTACAGCCTGCTGGGCACTCACGGAGCTCGTCAAAGTGAGTCTCAATGCCATCCTCGCCTGGCACAGAGCAGACAAGCCGCGCTTTCAGGAATGTGCTCCACTTGTTGACCAGACAGCAGTGACCACCATCATCATTCTGGGGAGGGGTAGGAGTAGGAGGCTGGGTCAAACCAGCTCACTTACCCCTAAGACCCTGCTGGAACCAGGCCAACAAAGCCAGGACTGGGCCTAGAGGGGGACAGCATGGGGCCCCACAGATGTATGCATACCAAGCAGATGCGCCCAATGCGGGCATACACCGCAGGGCTCTGCGTAGCCTCTGCTGACCGCTCGCGGAAGAAGAAGTAGAGCTTGTCATCATTACGCTCTGCGCTGTCAGGGATGAGCTCAGCATGGATGAACGAAGGGTCTGCAGGTCAGCATGGGTCAGCTGCATGAGCCCATCCTCTGACTTGTAACCCTTTTCCCCAACAAAATCTTTGGCCAAGTATAAAGAACACCCTCTACTTCTCTCCAGACAGGAAACCACCCCTGCCCAATCTAGTCATAGGCCAAAAACTGCTCCATATGTGTTTCTATAGGATCTCCCTGTCACATCCCAGACACAATGCCCACCAAAGATCTTATGGACTGCACTCACCATTGAGCCACCGGGAGTTGTACTGATCTGTGCGCATGGCTGTCTGCTTTCCAAGTGTGCGGAAGATGGCTGCATCAGTGCCCATAAAATCGATGTACACACCAGCATAGAGCTCCTCATCTGTGAGTGGGCCAGTGGCCAGTCAGAGGACTGCCCTTTGCTAGGGCCAGTGCACAGCCCCAGTGAGCCCCAGGCAGGATCCTAGCTCCCTCTTGAGCATCCTGGGGTATGATAACATTTCCTGTACACTGGTGGTAAAGGTTTATCAACTGACTTGGGGAGGGGGGCTGGTAGTAGTAGCTAAGAGCTCTATTTAGCAATAATAGTCAATTCCTGTGATGTAAATATTCCCACCCCAGCTGATCTCAAGCCTCTCACTGACCTCATCCAGAGGGAATGGATGGACACTCATGCCACCTAGTCTCTGCTTCTCAGCTCACACCAAAGTCTGGCCTAAATCCCCTCCCTTCCCCCACTGCTGGTAGGGTCCCATTGGGGGCTACAGCCTGGTCACTTGTCTTTGTGCTAGAATAAGTGTTGGTGCCCCTCCCCCTCTAGTGGCAGAAGACACATTCAGATTGCAGAAACAGACAGGGTGGGAACACTCACTGATAAGGGCTGAAGCTGTGTCCAGCTTGGGGTCATACGGACACTTGCCCTTCCCTGATTCGAGTCTCTCAGGCTCCAGGTAGAAGATATAATCCTGCAGGGTAGAGGGGGCTCAGCATCTCCAGGCCAGTCCCATAACCAGCCAAGAGTTAGGGTTCCCAGAGTGAGAAAGCCCCCTGGAATACCCTGAACCCACTCCCTGCACTCCCCCGAGTCCTCAGGCTTGAATTCCATCCAGCCAGGTCTCCTGGGGCAGGGCCATGCTGTGGTTTCAAGGGAGTGGCTTCCTAATCTTAGGCCTCGGGCAAGACCTGGGAATCAAGTCTCAGACATCTCAGCCCTGGAGGCCATGAAATAAGCAGGGGGTAGACTTGTTGGGGCTAAAGATGCTCCATGCCAACTGGCTCAGGAAGATGTTGGCCAAGGTCCCTTCAGGCCACAGAGGCCTAAGTCTTTGAGCTGTGGCTGCCTGTCTTGAACCAAGAAGGGGGTCCAGATCTAGCCAGGGCACCAGGCACAAATCAAGGATGGGGATCCTACCCTTTGCCATCAGGTCCAACCAGGCTACAGAGCTCTAAGGTTACTGTGTCCCCAGGCTTTGTGCCCTACCTGTGGTCCTCAAGATGGATCAATAGCCATGGCCTTCCTGACCCTCCATGTCTCCCCAGGGAGCCAGGAGTTGGGGAATCCAGCCCAAACCACACAGAATTCACAAAGCCCTCTGTGCCTCCCAGCCCAGGCTGGAAGATACTAGGAGGAAAGTTGTTGAAGGCACTGGGACCAGGGGGTGCTCATTGGCCTAGAGGGAAAGGCAGGGAGAAGGGAAGCAAAGGGGAGAGGAGAGAGGCACAGAGGAGGCGGCAGCAGGTGGCAGGATGGTGATGGGAAGGTGCACACAGGCCTACTTCCAGTTACACTCTGCACACATGACTTCCTGTAACATACCGCTCGGCACACATCACAGCCAGCACATGGAACCCACTGCACACACCCTGGATGCATACACACAGGATCTGAATGACTCCATTTTCAGCATTCCCTGCCATGCACATACACACTCTGTCATTCACCGGCAGCCCCTGCCCCCCTGCCCGCCCCTGCCCAGCCCCAGCTTGCCCAGCCCAGACCTGGGTCCTGACTAGTGGACAGATACCATCCCAAAAGAGAGCCCTCGTACGTGAGTATGCAGGACACCTGTATCCACCGCATGACCCACGGGAGGCATGGGCTTGGACACCTAGAAGTCATGTGTCAGACCCGCTGGGTGCTAAGTAAGGTGTGCCCAAGTGTATATTGGCGTGTGTTCATGCGTGTCTCCACACATCTGTTCTCAGGACTGAGATACAACTCTCCCCAAGGCGCCTGTCTTCTCCACCTGGTGGCTTCATGATTTCTTGCCTGCAGGGGCCACACTGAAGCTGACAAGCATCCAGCTGGAACTGCCTTCAGAGCCTGAAGGCACTTCAGGAGAAGGGATGGCAATGAGGCAGGGGCAGGAGGGAGAGGGAAGCCCCTGGGGGTGCTGGCCTGGGGAGCAGGACCAGGGTGAGTTGCAAGTCAGATGTCTTTCTGCCTGGCCAAGGCCTGGAGGGATGAGGCCCACCTGGCGTGGGGCTGTGAGCGTCGGGTGGACTGCGCCATCTGTGGCTCTGCTGCCTCGGCCTTTGACCACCTGTGGTTGGGTCCATGGCGGGGCCTGAGAAGACGAGAAAAAAGGTTAGAGCTGGGGGTGGCAGGGGCTGGGGGAGCGGGCTCGGGCTGCCAGCTTTTCACACCATACAGACCAGGAACACACTTTAGCACATGGGCTCCAGAGTACGTATATGCACGTGTACAGGTACACATACACACAGGTTTAGCACACGCCTGCACATACAGGCTCCTTAGGTCCAGTCACTCTCACACATTTCCTATAAGGTCATACCAGCTCATACACATGCCCACATGGAAATGGAAAAGGGCAGAAGCAGGCAGGGTAGAGCAGAGCTGGGGGAAGAGCAGCTCCCACCAACCCCTGAACCCAGGGAAGGAGAAGAAGACAGTTCTCCCACAGGCCACATGGCAGAAGCTGACCCAGCTGTCCAGCCTCCTGATGCCAAGGCCCTGCCAGGCCCTCTGGCTTGGCCACAGGAGCACAGTCCACAGGCATAACCAAGAGAACTGTTGCCATGTGTGGGGCGAGTGCTTACTATGTGCCAGGCACAGTGCTAAGAGCTTGGGAGCATTAGCTCACAGCCTCCTCCTCACACCGACCTGTGAGAAAGGCAGCTGTTAGCTCCATTTTCAGTTGAAGAAACTGAGGCTCAGAGAGTTGAACAAGGTCACTCACCCAAGGTCACAGGACTTGGAAGTGACAGGGCTGGGGCTCAAGCCCATCCTCCCATCAGGACCCTGGAATGCAGTTACCAGTGGGGACAACATAGGGCCAGGGTGGGCCAAGAGGAGCTCACCTGGGCACGGCGGCCACGGTTCACGTAGGTACACATGGGGTTGTAGGCACCTGTCCCACACACATATAGGTGTGTTCGATTCCAGGGCTGGATGAGCCTGACGAAGTTCCCACACTCGCCCTGAGGCCAGAGAGAAAGCTGTGTAGGTTCCCAGATACCTGCCTGGTTCCATTCCCTCTCTGGGGCTACCTGATCCCCTTCCCACCTGTGGACCCCACTACACTCACGTTGCCATCCTTGCCTGACAGCACGCACTCCTCGATGCGCTGTGGGGAGGCCGCCCAGTGAATCTGCCAGAGATGGGGGTCAGAGGGTGCGGTCTGCTGCTCAGGGCCCCAAGCCCTGGGGCTGCATACTCCCTACCCCGACTTCATGCCTCCCCATGCCCCACTTCTGAGCCAGCCCTTACAATGAGGGGCTCGCGATTGATGTCGTGCAGGTCCAGGGACAGCACATAGTCCTTGCTGCCCACATACATGCGGTCGTGGTCCTCATCCTTGAGCAGGATCCGGTAGTCAGTTGTGTTTAGCAGGAAGTTGAAGAAGTGGGCGGTGCCTGTGGCCTTAAGTTCTGTGGATGAAAGACAGGAGCACAGTTAGGCAGGAGTACCAGTTAGGACCCTCGAGAGACCATCCAACCATATGGTCTTTGACAGGGAGCCTGAGGTGTCCCTCAGGGACCCCATCACACAATTGTCTTAAGTTTCCAGCTTCCTCTTCAAGGATCTACTTAGCTCCCTCTCCAGTCTCTGACAAGCTGGGAGGAAAAAGTGGAGCAGGTGGGAAGGCCAGGGAAGGGGCCACACCCAAAGCTAAACCCCTGATTCATACACAACCTTAGCCAGTCCCAATGAAAGGGCAGTGGGTGCGGGCCAGGGTGAGTGATGACATCAAAGAGTCTTTGCTCCTCAGGAGAGGGTTAATGCTCACACTCTCAGGGTGGGGCCAGCTTCCCACAGAGGCCTAAAAGTGTTAATGAGCAGGTGGGGGGAGCAGGCAGGAACATCCAGGATAGCCTGTAGATGCTGGCACAGAGCATGGATGCCTTGTCCTCACCCCAGATGACCAGTAAGCAAAGGGCCCAGCTGGAGTGCAGCAAGGTCCCCTACCTGGCCTGTAACAGGCTAGCCAGAACACTGGAAAGCTCTGCAGAAGCCACACTGCCCTACAGACCTCCAGCTTCACCAAGACCCTACAAGGCTAAAAATGGTAAAACCCTCAGCCCACTTGGAATCAACCAGTAGGAGTCATCTGTGGGAAGGAGGTTCTCCCCATGGTGCTACAGAGTCCCCAGGGCTGGGACAGAGTCCAGTTGATTCTGTTTTCTCTTCTGCTTGAGTCTAGCAGCCTTGGCTCTCTTATCCCAGAACTCTGGGGAAAAGTCCTTCTTCCTGAGGATGAAGGACAGGAGGGAACTCAGCCAGTGACAGGCCAGTGACAGACAGAGAACTCCAGGAGGGTTGGGGACCTGTCTTTGAGAGAGCTGAGGGTCCCCCAGGCAAGTCCCTTCTCAGCCACAGCTATTTTTAGCTTGGTAGGAAAGAGAACATTGTGATGGGGGTGATAAACATTCACATGCACAGGGGACTTAGATGGCAGCACACAGAAGGACTCATGTATGTATACACATAGAACAAGTATGCACATGTGTACTGTAACAGAAGAGGTGCTCCTCAAGGGGATCATACATGTCACATTCCTTCCCCTGCTCACAGCTGATACCAGACTTCACAGGTGGGGCAATCAAGAAGGAGCCTGGGCCAGGGTCCAAGGCACCTGGAGGGGGAGGAACAGCTGGGAACTAAGGCCCTGAACATGGTCTGAAGGTGGCACCAGCAGGTGGTTGTCCCCAACTGGCCTGGCTGACCCTGACTCCAACTGGTGTGCCAGGGAACCTAGAATCAGCTAAAGGGTCTTTGCCTGAGAGCAGCTTCAAAAGCAGCCCTGGGATGTGCTAGGCATAGCCCATGTAGGGGAGAGGAGTGGGCTGTGGGCCAAGGTATCTGACAGTCAACCCAGAGCCCATGTCTGGTACCAGGACCTTGCATTGAGGGACTCAGGGGCAAGGAAAGGCCCAGCCCTGTCCAGACCTGACTATGTGGCAACAAGAGAATACAGGTGACGACCTTGACCAGCCTCTGGGACTCAGGATCGCTGGGACGCCAGGGATCAAAGGGCCCATCCCTGCCTGGCTATGGCCTCACCCGCTTGTCCAGCGGCGCCTCTGAAGTCCTGGGCAGGGCAGCCTGGGCACCTGTCCTGCACCTGTTGTTGGGCCACTCGGAGTCCCCCTCCCGGCCACCCAATCATAGTGACAACAGGAAAGTAAACACTCCCCCACCCCCAGAGCTGGGAAGTGGCCAGAGAGGAAGTGGGGCTGCCAGTGGAGCCCCTCCAGGCTGGGACAACCCGCCAGAGGTTATTTATACCTTGGCTGGGGGTATGGCCTTGGTTGTGCCCTTACTTGTCCTGCTGGGCTAAGGGGCACTTGGGGGACCATGAAGGGGAGGGGGGCAGAGGATTAGCAATGAACCTGAGACACAGCACATGGGGTAGGAAGGAGCTTCAGAGATCTAACCCCCAGGGACCCAACCACCCATAATCCCTACCCTCTACCCCTGCTCAGCCTTGTCCCCCATAATCCAGACCCTCACCCTCTGCTGTGCCATGACTCCCAGGGCCCAAGCCCTAAGTCCAAGTCACCAACCTGCTTCCAAAGCCCCAGCATCCTAGGTTCCAGCTCTCTGAGAGAGGCAGAGAAGAGATTACTGAGCAGATAAGGAAACAATCCCAAAAAGGGGGGGCAGGAGGCTGGCCTTGAACTGACATCCTGCCCATGTGTCCCATCCCTCAGAGGTGGGTATAGAGTGCCTCTCAGTCATCTACTATGTGCAAAACCTTGTGCACACACATCTAGTTTACAGGTGAGGACATCAGGACACAGAGAACAGAAATGACAGGCCAGAGTGCACTGGGGCCAAGAGTGAGATTCTTACCCAGGTTCATTAATGACTGAAGAAGGGAGAGGCCCAGGGAAGCCAGTCCTGGTGGTGGAGGCTGCTGGCCAGGAGAGCAAGGGCCAGAAGGTGACTCGCCCTCCATCATCAGGGCACATGACTCAGGACCCTTGGGACCCTTCCCAGTGTTCACAGGATATGACGTGAATGACTCAGGACATGATGCTTCAGTCACTGTGGAAATGGGGAGGGGGAACCCCCAGTAGGCCATTGCAGGGTGGGAAAGAGGTGAGACCATGGGTCAGAAATACTTGGCTATGGCCATGTTTCCGGCATGGGTTTTATGACCCCAGTTGGAGCGCTCTGCCTCTCTGAGCTTCATTTTCCAATTTAGGACATCTCTTGGGTCCCCCTAGTACTGACATCAAAGCATCCTGACTAGGGTCCTATTCTGACCTCAGAGAGAGCTGAGTACTCCTCTGGTCTTTCCCCTCTGGTCTTCATGGGTGAGGAAAGGAGAGTAGGCTGGGGTGCCAAGTTCTTTCCCTGAGGAAGTAAGCTTCCTTCCAGATGTCACTAAATCTTGGAGGATATCCACCTCCCATTCACATCCCTATTACCCTATTTCCTAGTGTTGGAGTGGGGAGCAGAGAAGACTATGGGGAAGGAAGGGGCTTCCTGTTGACTCAGCCCCTACCCCCTCAACTCTAGCACATATTCCCCTCACCCTCAATCCACAGAAACAGCTAAATCCCAAATCATTCACCCAAACCAGCCTACTGAAGTAGAAGGCAGAGAGGGTGGAGGTTCTTCAGGGTTCCAGAAAGAATGAGGTATAGGGCACTGGCCTTATTAACCCATAGCTGGAGTGCTAATGTCACTCATGCCAGACGGTTGAAGAAAATGGAAACAAGGGGCCCATGATAGTTCTGTGTCTCTAGTCATAGACAGGAAGACTGAGGTCTCAGGAAGAGTGGTACTCACCCCAGGTCATGGAGTGATAGGTGGAGTTGGTGTCTTGTCCACTCCTGACCCATGCACCATAGAGCAAAGGAATTGGGGGCCCATATTCCTCCAAGAAGCTCAGGTCAGAGCAGGGGTGGTTCAGTAGCCTTGAGGACCCTCCTCTGATACCTACAGTATCAGCAAAGACCAGATCCTAAAGGTCCCGGGAGCCTAAGATAGCCTAAATGAGGTGTGTGTGGGGGGGAATGAGGAAGGTGGGGGGAGGGGAGGAGGATCCTGATACAGATCCAGCCTGGTCATGTCCTCAGGCCAGTCCCTACCTCTTCCCTACTTGTTCCAGGGCCAGCTCTGATAGTAGGGTGTTAGGACTCAAGCTTGGATAAGCTTTGACTTTTGGGGGTGGGGGCAACAAGGTGGTGGCCCGGGTGATGCTTCCTGGGAAGGGCCCCTCCCCTATCCTCTCACCCAGGCTAGGCATAGGTTGGGTGGGGTGGCATCCGGGAAGGATTTTCCCGTCATCGGGAAGGAAGAGCCTTTTCTGGCATCAGACACCTCATTTCCGCAGCCGTTTCCAACCTCTAGGCCTCTCCCTTGGCCATTAGAACTCAGTTCTGGCCCAGAACAGCCTGGCCAAAGTCCAGAGCAGGACTCAGTGCCTCGGAGGCTTAATACTGAGGGTCTCCATCTCCTCATTGCTGGAAAGCAAGGGTTGATGCCTTACTTTAAAGGAGACCACAGGCAAAGGCAGGCTCCAAGGAGGCGTGTCTACTGCCCTCACCCTAAGTGGGCAGCCTCACCCCCTGCTGCTGTCTCCAGGACACCAGGTCTGCTGCCAATGAGGCAGGGGTTGCTCCAAAAAGAGGGGTCTTAGGGCAGAGGTGAGCACCCCGCCCCTTTGGTTACAGCTCCACAAAGCAGTAGGCTCTGACTGACAGCATGACTTCTCCCAGCAGAGATGGGGTCTAGAGGGTGATAGACAGGTCCCTGCCGCCTAGCTCTGACCTATGACCTGTGTGGGCTAGTGTGGCCTTAATCCCTGAGCTGAAGAGAAATGGCATTGAGGGCACAGGGGGTGTTCTCCAGGGTCTTTGTTAGTGCTCCATCTACCAGGAAGACAAACCACCTGACCTCTGAGAAGGGAAACAAGTAGACAAGGATATGGAAGTGGAAACAGTGATAGACTAGCAGGGCCTAGGCAGTCCCTACTGGACACCTTTGTGGGCTCTAGGGGAGGGTGGCCCCCAGTCTCTTTCACTCACCCAGAGCTGTGAGGGGCCCCAGAGGAAAGCCCAGGGGTGGGACTGGCCCCCCTGGCTCCCAGCCTAATCCTCTTTTAATGAGCGGCCAGCCGGAAGGCCTCAGCCCCTGGCCACAGCCCTGCAACCCCAGGAGCCCCAGTTAGGCTGAGCTGGGGGCAGGGCAGCCCAGAAGAGTTTGCATGCACCACTCCCCTGCTTAGCACTCACCCCAAAACCAAGACCTCAGACACTAAGCAGGCCAACCTCAGGGGCTATCATCTGCAGTGACACCTGCTGGTGCTCTATGGTCCTCTTTTAGACACTCTAACACACATGTTCAGCTCAGGTCTCACCTGGGGCTAGACAGGAGAGGGTATCACTGATGACCCCCCCTTTCCCCTGGGTGTTCT